CTGGGGTCAATCACAAGGCAATAGTTTATCAAATAAAGATGGTTTTTATTTAACAGTTGTACAGTACCTATTCTGGTTCTTCCTACTTTTTGACCATTCTTAGGTCACTTATATATATTTTTACTTTATACTTATTATATCTATTATACCTGATATATTACTTATACTTGATATACCATTTATACCTGATTTACTTACCCTTATAATTTCCTATCATCTACCTATCATTTTTCCCTACAACAACATGAAGGCGCTGCAGCCACTTTATACAGGTTTGCTTCCAAGTCATGAAAAGGATTTGGCACACTCATTTCTCAAGTGTGACGAAGTGTTCCATGGATAGAATTATATACTTAAATTTATAAGTTTTGCATATTTTTTATTTGTATAAAAAAAAATCTACAATACTTTTTTTTTTATTCTTTTGCATTTCTTTTTATCTTCTTTTATTTTTTTTTTTGTAAGTAAACATTATTTCTTTATTTGTTTATATAATAATAGATATATATTGTAAAAGAAACAACATCTCTTATATGTATTAGTATAATGATTTAAATACTAGCTTGCCTATACTAACTACTAGACTAATATTAAAAAGAAATTTTAAAACAATATATTTTGTCAAGTGATTCCAAGCAGCTATAATTATCTACTTAGTATTGGATGGAAGGAAATTAGACAGATCTGTAATTAATTTAGAAATGTATTTAGTAAAGTTGAATCCATTTTGGATATAGGAATTAGCTACAATGGTGAATACATCTATAATGATTGATATTAACATGGAATTGTTACTGGATAGTTTAGTTTTAGCTTGGTTTTTGGTAATTTGTTTTATTGTGTCACTATAATGATTATTGTTTCATTTGATATCAGTAAGGGGAGAGGTGTTTGCTGTGATACAATGAAATGTCCAAATTGATTTTTATAAGTAAGTTAAGGTCTCAGTTAAAGCTTCAGTTCTGTTAATTGCCAAGCATGTGTAATTGGCTTGAAATCGTCATCAGAGTGAAGAATATTATTGATGATGATAATAAGTTGACTAATACAGTATCTTCTAATACTAATAGGACTTTCTTTTATCTTTATTATATTATAAAAATTATTTATTTTAATATTATTATACTTATTAAATCAAATACTTTTTAAAAAATATTTAAATAAAATTATTAGGTCTATTATTTGTTTTAATACAATTTTTATACATAACTTTATATTAATAATACTTGCTATATCATTTTAGAATTTTAAAAATTTTTTATTTAAAAAATCAAAATCAGTTTATCTTCTTTAGATAATTATTGCCTTCAATTATTTAATTAGATTTAATTAAAACAATAGAACAAAAATCAAATTTGTTTAAATCAATTTTTTAATACAATATTTATTATAACAACTATTATAATATCAAATAATATCAATTATACCAATTCAAATCAAGAGTTTTTTTAAAAATATTACTTTTATTTATATAGATTTTATGGTTTAATTAACTTGATCTTAGTTCAATAGTTCATATTATTATAGCTTTAATTATAATTTTTTTTACTTTTTATTTTCTATATATTTATTAAATTTTTTAAGTAAGCATAACTGCTACTTACTATATTTAGCATATATTCCTTAAACTATATAATTGACAAATTTGTTTACAATTTTATATTTGCCAACAGTTGGTTCATAGATTAAGAGATAATATTATTTAAAAAAATTTTTTTTTTGATATTAGTTAGATGTACAGTATATGTGTAAGAAAATTAGCATTTAACTTGTTGTATGCATTGTATCCAAAAGATGTTATTTTTTTTACTATATACTGTATATAAATTTATAATATAATATGAATAAATAAATAAATAATGTTTACCTATTGAAAAAATAAATAAATAAATATATTATATATTATATAATTTTGAATTTTAAATTATAGATAATAAATTTATATCCTGAAAATTTTTGATTCGCCTTTAAAAATAATTGCCCATATACAGTATATATATTATGTTGTTTTAAACAAAATTTATTTTTATTTTATAGTATTAACTTAATTTATTAAATTATAAATAAAATATAATTGACATTTTTTTTTTTGCAACACCCCGTACATTATATTTATATTTTTACAATAACGGAATTTACGTAGTATAATGTCACATGCCTCATATTCGCCTATCAATGTGTCCTCAAATATCTTTGTTGGTAAAGAACTTGTAATCTAGATCAATTTCGTACTCACTGATTGCTTTATTCCGTAGATTCTTATATAGCTTCTTATTCCCACTCAATCGAACCTTTTTCAAATGTTCACCCTGGTGATCCAACAGCACCTTGAGATGCTGGTTTCCGAAGCATAGTGATCTCTTGATCACGAAATTCAACAATCTGAACTTCGAGTTTTTGAAAAAAGTTTCTAAGGATTCAACCGAAAAATAAAAATATCCATGTAGCTCAAGGTGATAGAGGTCTTTCCAATGTGGATGCTTTACTTGAAGGAAGAAATCATCGATTACAGTCTCGGTGACTGTATCAGCGGCTTCTCCCCCAGTGCGGAAAACTTTATTTTTGATGATGATCTTCTTGAGAAACTTGCAAAACGCGAAAAACTGATTGAAGGGTCTGAAATCATGAATAAATTCGTTGCACGTAAAGTGCGTGACATTGTTAAAATTGCATGCTATGTATCGGAGAATTAGTTTATGCTCAGTGGCAGGAATATGGATAAAGGTAAAATGTCGCAGTGGGGTATTTGAGTTTTCTTTCAATGAATCATCGGATGAACTGAGGTCTCGTGAGTCAACATCGTCGAGATCTGCAACAGGCCATGACGAAGAAATATTGGATTCTGACGAAGGCAAGAAAACTTGCAGTGGGTAACTGGAATTTAATTCCAATGAATGGAGATAAGGAAACTTCAATAGATTAAGCGAACTGCCATCGTTCCAAAATTCGCAATCGATGAATGCCAACTCTCGTAGGTTTACTAATTGACTGATTGGAGAAAAGCACTGGAATTCACCAATAGTCACTTTCCTGAATGTAAGTTTTGTTAAGGAGTTGGCGATGGTAGTCAGCCTATTCATTAGAAAAGGGCTATCGATATGGAATTTGTATAATTCAATGTCACACAAAGAACTCTGAGATTTGATGAAATCTGTCATTGCCTTGGCTTCCGATGATTCCTGATAGAAGCCCGATGGTTTCGTACCCCTTGACCAATCGATCTTTAGGATTCGGATGTTATTGGCTATCACAGAAATCCCATTTAACATAGTAATCAATTGTTCATTAGCTTTACAGCTGAGACCAACCAGGTGTGATAAACATTTATCGGCACCAGGATAGCCAACAATTTTATATGATGATGGGGGATAGGGATCAATAAATGATTCTTTGGTTTCAGAGAATGAGTTTAACGACAGATACCACATTTTGGTACATTGAGTCATTAACATCTTGCCAGTTCGTACATATATTTCATCTAGAATGTTGGGCATGAAAATGCTATTAATTTGAGAAATAAACCGTCCTAACAGTATGCTAACCATTTTACGTCTTCGCTCAGAATCTGTGTAAGTGTGACAGAGCCATCCAATTATCGCCAGTCGTATTAAATCAATATCAAGTTCGCGAATAAAGGAAACATAATTGCAAAGTGGACGAGCAACTCGAGTTCCGCTGAAGCTCGTGTCCAACTGTTGTGCATTGTAAATGAGTGAAGTGAAAAAGGTTTCTATTAACGAAGATGTCTTCAGATATCCAGATTCGTGTGAGAAAGAAAAGCTATTAAATGAAGCCATTGGCCGCTTCCACAAAAATGGTGCTGCAAGTCTAAACCAAAGACGATTAACTTGGATGCAGCAATACAAAGTATGTGATTCATATGATAGGAGGTCAAAAACTACTGCCAAACAATCTTCGTCAAGTGCCGACATGTTAATGAAAAAACGGTATCGTGGTAAAGAGATCGACATGTGGTTTAATATATGTGCGTACATACATATGCGTATGCTTTCACTGGTATCACCTACATCATGTGACTATCCACAATTTCGGTTATCAAAAAGTATAAAACGGTTACACGAAATACAATATACTGTAATATAATAATAAAATAATGTAGGTTGATACACAGCAAAACCGTGCTTTGAAAGGTAGTTGAGTCAGTTTTGTATAGCATGTTTGAGAAGTAAATTTATTCCTGGGGTGTATAGAGGGTAATTATAAGTATTGGAATGATTATATTTTTATTATTTTTTTTGTATTTTTTTATTTACATGTAGTATAAATTATTAATAACATGTTACTTCCACCCTTATAATTATATTAATATATAGTTATGTATATTAGCACCTGATTTATTTATTAAAATTCAATGACTAAAAAAAGTAAAGAATTAATCACTGAGCAATGTGAAGCAATTCTTTATAGATATTTATATAATGACTCATATAAAAAAATTGCCGAAAGTATTCAGTATAGCAAGACCACAGCTTTTACCATTATAAAACAATATAAAAAAACAGGATTTACAATACCCCAGAAACAAAGTGACCCAAAACTAATATTTAATAACTCTCGTGCATAAATCATGCTAAAAAAACTTGTCACTCAAAATGCCAAGCATCATTATCTCCCTGTCCATGAAATCAAAAATCTATAAAATAAAAAAAAAAAGAAAATGTATCAACAGCACAATTTGATGTACTCTCAAAAAAATTGGTTTGCAGTCTTGTATTGCTTGCATAAAGTCCTTAATCTCAAAAAAAAATCAAGAAAAATGGTTAGCTTGAATGCTGGAACAAGAAGACCAGTCAATTATGAAGTGACGAAAAGTCATGTGGTTAGACAAGTTCATATTTAACTAGTTTTTACAGAGTTATAGCTTTTGTGTGTGGCAAATTCCAGAGGAAGAATTCAACACTTCTTGTTTGAATACTATAATAAAGCATAATCCTTCGTGAATGTTCTGGGAGTGTTCCTCATAAAATGAACTTGGACCGCTTGTTTCAGTTTGTGAATCTATGACAGGAAAAGTGTATTCCAAGATATTGCAGAAGCACGCTATTTCTTTTTTATATAGATTAGTTTCTTGTAAAGGGATTTTTCAAGAGGACAATGCCCCTCCCATTATGTAATGATTGCTGCTGGTGTTTATGAGTTAATAGGCATTTCTGTACTATCCTGGCTTACATAAAGTCCTGATATTAACCTGATTGAGAATCTCTGAAATGAGGTTGATAGGCAGGTATGTAATTTGTGCATCAGCCTAAAAATATTCATAATTTAAAATGCAAAGTAAAAGCCATATGATATTCAATTTTACTTGATTATATTTATGAATTAATTGAATATATGTCGCACCGAATCCAGGCATGCATTGAGATCCAAGATGGTTCAACAAAGTATTAATGATTTAAATTTATAAAAAATAGATGAGAAAAAAAATTTTTTTTATATATAAAAATGTTAATAAAGTAATTATTACTTTATTGTTCTGATACCTGTGATTATACTCTATATGTTTTGTTTGTTTTTGTTTTTTTTTGTTGTTTTTCCCTCTTTTTTTATTATTTATATTTATACCATTATTTTTTTTCCATTCTGCAAATTTGATACATCTATATTTCCATCTTTCTTGAAGTTTGTTAAGTTGGCAATTGTGAATGGTTTTGATGATTTTCTTGTGTATTTCAGATTGTAGGTGTTTTTTGACTGTATCGATTAGGTTATTGGTTAACACCCTTTTGTTATATAGTCTTTGATTTCTTGGGCCCATGTCTGTTGCTGTTTTTTGATTTCGTAATCCAACTTGTGTTCCATTTTTTTTTTGTTTTGTTATCTACTTTTTCATTAATTATTTGTTTGAGCTTTGTAAAGATGTCTTCTTGATGCTGTTTGCATATCATTATATGTGTGTTGGTTTTGGTCTGTTTGCAATGTATACATTGGTTATCAGTATATGTTTTTGCTATTTTTTTGTGCAAATTGCTTTTGGATAGTAGTTCTAGATTCCAGAGTTTGTATTTGAAGGATCTGGTATTATGGTTATATTGGTTCATTTCTCCTTCTGGGATTTTTAATGAGTGTTTATTGGTTATTGCTTCCTTTTACATAATGTTATTTTTGATGTTTTTATCTGTTGTGATTAGGTTCCAGTTAAGCATTCTCCAGTTGAAAATATGTTTTATTTTGTTTAGATTTTAGATTGTTTCTGTGGTTGTGTTATTCAGGATTTGCCCATTTCATTTTTGTATCCATTTTGTTTTATTGTTGAGTATTAATTTGATGTTGATTTTTGATATTGTAAAACCTATAGTGGCGTCTTTTGCTAGTTGGTCTGCTTTGTCATTTTTGGAGTTGTTGTTGTGGACTTTGACTTTTTTGAGAGATATATTAAGTTTTTGTTGTTATATGATATGTACAATTGTGTTGATTAGGTTGTTGTTTTTGAGTATTCTTAGTGTATAATAATTATTTTGAGCCTTATTAATTGCATTAAGTACTGCTTGACTATCCGTATGAATTATAGTTTTGCTGTGTGCTGGTACTGTTAGAAGGAATGTTGTAATTGCTGCTAGTTCTGCTCTGGTTAATGAAGAGAATTTGTTAATTGAGCCTTGGAAGAAAGTGTTGAGTATTTGTGGTATATGCTAGTCAAAGCTTATTTTGAGATCTGTGTTCATTGATCCATTTGTATATACTATCATTGTTGTTTTGATCTCATTTAGTTTGTGTTTTATTTTTGCTAGTTCATTAAGAGTATCTTCTGTTGTGTCTATGTATTTGTTAATTGTTTCTTTGTATAATTTGTTTTGATTGTTTTTGAGTTATGAATGTGATGAAAGATTTATTGATTGGAATTTGTCAGTTCTCATATTGTTGATACTTGTTGATATAATTCTGCTTCGGTAGCAAAGTTTATTATTTGATGTATTTCTTGAGCTTGTTCTACTTTTGTGTACTGAAATACTGATGAGACTGTTTTTTTTCTTACTACATACATACTCTTCTGGTTTCCCTGTCATATTAATTAGGCATCCTTTGTATTCTTGTAGAGGTAAGTGATTATTGACTCTAATATAATGTTATAATTTGACTAAATTATTGGTAATTGCTTTTTTTCTTCCTATAATATTTCCAGTTGTGAATGATATTATTATTCATTTGATTTTTTTGTTGAAGAGCTCGATTGCAAGTTTGTGATCTGATTTTTTGTGATTTCCCTTTTGCTGTCTTTCTTGAATTGTTGCTATTATGGTTTGGTTGTTTTAAATTTTACAGAACCAATTGGGTTTTTTATTAAGGTGTGTTATTTCTACTCATGCTAGCATTTGTGGTCCTGAGTAATTTGTGATTTGGTTTAAGAACATTATTTGGTTTTTGGCAAGTTGTTTCCTGTGTTTGTTGTACCAAGTTGGGTCTGTGAGCTCTTCTATTGT